GAAACGTCCGGTTCATCGTTGTCTACTGCCCCCGGCAATGTACCGTTAGCAATGGTACAGCACAGCAGTTCAAGAACGACCTTGCCATCATAACCCACACCAATGCCCGCTTTGTAATCGGAGGGGACCTGAACGCCCGGCACGAGGCCTGGCGGAACTACCAGCAGAACCAGAACGGCCGCCTGCTATTTGACCATTCCCAGCATGGTCTCTATTCCGTCTGGTTTCCGGACGAACCAACCTTCACATCACCGACGGGCAACCCATCGACGCTGGACCTGTTCTTGGCAAACACCAGATTAGCCAAGCCGGTTGCCGTCAACGACCTGAGTTCGGACCACCAACCGGTGCTGACCGAGCTGGGCTACAACGTGGCCCCTGCACCGTGCCAGCGGAAGGACTACCATCGAGTCAACTGGGTCCAGTTTCGACGCGTGGTCGACCGCCACATCGACGACAACCCACCGCTCGACACAGTGGATGACATCGACCGGGCCCTGGAGGGTCTCCATCAAGCCATATCCGTGGCTGACGAAGAGTGCGTTCGACGAGTTCCTGTGAGGGGTAAGTTTCAAGCAATTGATTCCCACACCAAACTCTTGATTCGGCTCAGAAATGTTCGTAGACGCCAGTTTCAGCGGACTGGGGATCTGCAGCGTAAATACGAAATGGTCGATCTGAATCGGCAGATCGCTTCCAGAATGGTCTCAATCCGGAACGAGAGTTTCGGGCGGCTCGTTCAGAACCTGGACGACCGTTCCAGACCATTCTGGAAGGTTGCCAAGGTGCTGAAGTCTCACCCCAAGCCCATTCCACCACTTAGAGTCAATGACGAACGGCTTATCACCAACGAAGAGAAGGCCAATGCAATTGGGGAGCACATTGCCCAGTCGCATTTGCTTGGCTCTACAATCCCAAGTCCACTCGAGAACCAGGTTGTGCAGTGCGTCCAGACGTTAGATGCCTCCCCTTGTGCCGTCCCTCCAGAAGAACGGATTACAGAGGAACAAATTTGCTCAGCGCTGAAACACAGTACGAACATGAAGGCTCCCGGGTTTGACGGAATATTCAACCTAGAGTTGAAAAATCTCAGTGCGAGGGTGCACTCGCTGCTGGCTGCCATCCTCAACAGATGCTTGGAGCTGCACTACTTTCCAAGCATCTGGAAGGTGGCAAAAATCATCCCGATCCGCAAACCTGGGAAAGACCCTTCACTACCGTCAAGCTACAGACCGATTAAAGGGTGATACGGTCAAAATTTGGTCAAGGGAAAACGCGTGTAAATCGGTGAAATCGTTTATTTAAAAAATCAAATTAAATTTCTTTTTCAAGTTCAATTAGTATAAAATTCAGGAAAAATATTCAGTTAGGCTTCCGCTTTTCCAAATCCGAATTGCCGGGCCTTACGCTTGACCCCTGCCATCAGATTTTGTACAGCCACCTTGTCCACCTTCTTCGCCGCAGAAAGCCAGTTTGCCTTGAACTGCTGCTCGCCCTTAGCAGTTTTTTTTGGTCTTCTTTAGGTTCCGCTTGACAATAGCCCAGTATTTCTCAATTGGGCGGAGCTCTGGCGTGTTGGGTGGGTTCTTGTCCTTGGGAACCACCTGCACGTTGTTGGCGGCGTACCACTCCATGGCCTTTTTACCGTAATGGCAAGATGCCAAATCCGGCCAAAACAGTACGGAACAACCGTGTTTCTTTAGGAAAGGCAGCAGACGTTTATTCAAACACTCTTTCACGTAAATTTCTTGGTTGTCAGTCCCGGAAGCTATGAAAATGCTGCTTTTCAAGCCACAGGTACAGATGGCTTGCCAAACCAGATATTTCTTTGCGAACTTTGACAGTTTCATGTGCTTGAAAACATCTGCTACCTTTCCCCTTCCTTTTGCCGTATAAAACTCCTGTCCCGGAAGCTGCTTGTAGTCGGCTTTGACGTAGGTTTCGTCGTCCATTACCACGCAGTCAAACTTCGTCAGCATCGTCGTGTACAGCCTCCGGGATCGCGCGTTGGCCGTCGTATTTTGTTTATCATCGCGATTTGGAGTCACTACCTTCTTGTAAGTCGATAGTCCGGCTCGTTTTTTGGCTCGATGCACGGTTGTAGACGATACACCCAGCTTATTTGCGGCATCTCGGAGAGAGAGGTTAGGGTTTCGCGTGAAACTACCGGCAACTCTCTTTGTCGTCTCAGTGGCTTCCGGTTTTCGATTTCCCCCCGATCCAGACTTCCTGGCTGTCGACAAACGTTCCCCAAACACTTTAATTACATTTGTAACGGTTGATTTGGCAACTTTTAGCGATTTTGCCAACTTTGCGTGCGAGTAGCTCGGATTTTCGCGATGCGCGAGCAAAATTTTGATACGCTGCTCTTCTTGCTTGGCCGGCATTTTGACAACTGAAGAGTGAATTCCAAAATTAAAATAGGAGCAACATTCTACACACACACACCTTCAAAATGAGGGGTGTTCAGGTTTTTTAAATGCAAAATTGAAAGAAATACGTCAAGTTGATATTGACCAAATTTTGACCGTATCACCCTTTAGCCTGCTCTCAGCGCTGAGCAAGCTGTTCGAAAAATTGATCCTCAGCCGACTAAACAAGTTTGTGGAGGAACATGACATTCTTCTTCCGGAACAGTTCGGGTTCCGTAAGGGGCATTCCACCAATCATCAGCTAGTGCGGGTGATGAATAACATCCGGAGTAACAAAGCTGTATCCAAGTCCACAGCCATGGCCTTGTTAGACGTCGAAAAGGCGTTTGACAATGTCTGGCACGACGGACTTATATACAAGCTTTGTAACTCCAACTTTCCACCATACCTTGTGAAAATCACCCGTAACTATCTCCAGCAAAGGTCGTTCAGGGTGTCGTTGAATAGTTCCCTTTCGGGACAATTTCCGATCCCAGCAGGTGTTCCGCAAGGGAGTCTGCTGGGACCACTGCTTTACAGCATCTACACGTCGGACATCCCTCCTCTAGGAGACGGTTGCGTGTTCTTTCTGTTTGCAGATGACACCGCGATAGCCGTCAAGGGTAGGATGCCTCGTGAAATTACGAACAAGCTCCAACGATGCCTTGACACCTTTACTGATTATGCCACCACGTGGAAAATCAAAATCAACGCCTCGAAAACCCAAGCGATCATGTTCCTTCACAGACAATCATTAAAACTTAAACCGTCTCCCTCCTGTACCGTAATGATGGATGGTACAAGGGTCGAGTGGTCCACTGATGTTACTTATCTCGGGATGTTGTTCGATGAGAAGCTCCTGTTCCGCTCGCACATAGAGAAAACCCTAGTTAAGTGCTCCGCCTTGGTTAGGTGTTTGTATCCGCTCATTTGCCGCAGATCCCGCCTCTCAAGGCAAAACAAACTGGCTGTTTACAAACAGATCATAGCCCCCGCGATCTTCTATGCCGCCCCGGTGTGGGAATCGTGCGCTCAGACCCACAGGAACAAAATCCAGGTTGCACAGAATAGAGTGTTGAGGATGATCCTAGATCGTCCATTCGACACAAGAATAGCAGACCTCCATCAAGAGGCAGAAATTCCCAAAGTAGATTCCAAAATTGATGATATGACAACTAAATTTATTCAAAAATGCAATCTTTCTGAACATGCTTTAATAAGCAATTTGTACATACACAGCAAAAAAAAATGTAATATCGATCAACGTAATTCAAGCTGATGTATGATATATTGATGTAATAGCAAAAAGCAGATACAATATTACATCAATAGATGTAATTTTGTTCGCAAAATCGATGTACATCGTACAATGTGATATTACACAACCGATGGATTGACCTGGTTGCAGCAGTTTCGATGTAATATTCAACAACTTTTTTTGCTGTGTAGTAGGTTAAGTGTATATAGTAGAGTAGGTTAGTTTTAAGCTGTCAATAGTAGTATTAAGTAGTTTCTCTTCAAATTCTAAAAACAAACAAACCAATCCCACCAAGGTGGTCGACCGTGTACTAAGTCTAGGACTAATTCTGTAAAACAAATTTTGAATTTTGCCCATACTTAAAGATGAAGAAAGCAATTAAATCACTTAGTAAAAATTTATATGGTAATCGTCCAAGTTAAACTAAAATAAAGATCATTTAAAAAAAAAAAAAAAAAAAAAAAAAAATTTAGTCATTGTCTACCGCTAAACCGTTCAGTCGAACTTCTTTGCCCTTCCGAATAGTCCAATAGACATTACCATGTACCGTTTGTTTGTTATTTTCCTCTGGCTAGCCTAAAAAATATATGAACTTAGATCTGTCAAAATGAGCTTGACAGTGATTTGCTATGTATTTTCCTCGGATTTTCACTAACACGCTCTCACATATCGTACCAACACAACCGGACGTGATAATCTACACGGCAAGAAAAAAATACTCAAAATTAAGTTAAAAAAAACTCAACGTTGGGTTCTATCATTTGAGGTCCGCCGTTGAGTAAATCAGAAAAGCGGCGTTGGTTAAAATTTACTCAACTATTGAGTAAAAATAAATAAACTCAAATATAAGTTTATTTTAATTGAGGTTGCTCTTATGCGATTTTAACCATTTCATTTTCACAAGCGTTGATAAACGAGTGGTCAACACACGGGCCCTGTAATCTCAACGTCCATGGTTCGGTTCCAGTCTGCTCCGTTTTATTAGTTTTTTGTCAACTTCAGGATTACTCAAAATTGAGTTTTCTTATTTAACTTAATTTTACCTAGCCCCACGGAAGCCACGTGATGAGTGAAAGGAACTCAATTTTGGGTACTTTTTTCTTACCGTAATGACAATAATCTATCCACAGCGAAAAATTCGTTCCTTTTCAAATGTTCCGCGAGAGCTGATGGTTCGCATCTCTCCACTTACGCAACAGTTGGTAACCGGGGCTGAACTATTATCTTTGGAGGCACTTTTGTTGTGACATTTCTCACTGTCAATCATCAACAACTTTTTTTTTTGTGCGGCTCGGCGATTTCGATTGTTATTTCCCGTATTTTTTCCGAAATACTATTCTATATTCTGATGGTACACCTGCGAAGGAAAATAGGCGTGAAAATGCTCCACTTTCTAGGGCCATTACTGTTGCTGGCCATGGTTCGCCCGTCGCAGCAGTTCAACGACGTTTTCGACGAAGAACTCCTGATCAAGCCACTCCCCGATGGATTCGTGTACAGCTACTTCCAGTTCACTACTCGCTGGGAGTTGACTCAGAATGATAGTCGTGAGTAGAACTTCTTTGTTTAATATGGAATGAGATTTTTATTTGAAATCAATTCTAGTTTTGCACACCCACCTGGTATCGCGTTCCCTGGTCGAGCTGTTCCATCACTACGGCGTGAGCGAACTGCATTTGGCTTTCACCAGCGGCATTTGGCGCTACGAAAATTGGGGCTTCCCGGTGGTGGATGCCGGACCAGGTGCCGAGGTTTGGGCATGGTTCGAACCACCGGCCAACGACGATGAAGTGGATCACAAGTGGAAGCAACTATGTGGAACGCTATCTGGATTGTTTTGCGCTTCGTTGAGTTTCGTGGACAAAACGAACACCTTCCGGCCGGAGTATTCGCTGAGACCGACGACGCATCGATTTGAAGGGATGGGGGAACCAAAGGTTCGTTATGCGGCACTGCCTCGGGAGATCGTGTGTACGGAGAATTTGACCCCGTGGAAAAAGCTGCTGCCGTGTAAGCTGAGGGAAGGATTGGTTTCGTTGCTGACGCCGGACCATGTGTATTCAGGGAACTATCATTCATTGGCGGTTCATATGCGGAAGCTTTGCGCGGATGCAGAATGTGAACAGTTTCAGCTCGAGGTGCGTCAGAGCGTAAGCTTGGTGCAGGATCAGCGGCTGTTTGGTGGGAAGGATTGGTCCATTCGGAAGCTTTTCGGACAGGGAATGGAAGGGGCATGCGTTTTGGCCAGCAGCAGTAAGGTTTATGTAGATGTCACTGATAAAGACTACGATATGACTCAGAAGCCGACGAATGTTATTCACTCCATTCGAGGGGGAGCTAATTCGGTACTCTATGAGTATGACGTCAAGGAGTTTGAGAGGAAGCAGCGTATGTTCAACGTCGCTGCAGTGGATAAGAAGGACACGAATGTAGTTGCACTAACTCCGCTGCCACCGATCTACTCGAAAAGGTTCATCTCCGGTGTTGGCCAGGAGCGGGGACGAATTGTCACAAGAATAACCAACACCCATTGGGCGGATTTGAATTTGATAATATTCGAAAACATTCCCTGGTTCGTGCCGATTTATCTGCATACCCTACGGATCAACCGTGGAGAGCAGAGAATTGAACCGCGCACCGTAAAGTACATTCCAGGTCGACAGCGAGAGCGACCGTCGCATTTGGAGATTGCGCTGACCATTCCTACCCGTTCGACCATCGAACTGTCGATCGATTTTGATTACATCTTTCTCAAGTGGCAAGAGTACCCACCGGATGCCAGCCACGGTCACTATCTGCAACCGTCGATCATCTCGGTGCTGCTACCGGTGGCCCGTAACTACACGTCCCTGCCGCGAGAGGCTTCCCTGTTTCGGGATTCTTTCAACGCCACCCAACCCAACGGATACTTTCTGCAGCTGAGAACGGAAGCGCTGCTGCTGACCCTGCCGATTCCGGACTTCAGCATGCCGTACAATGTGATATGTTTGGCCTGTACGGTGGTGGCATTGGCTTTCGGACCGATTCACAACATCTCCACCAAGCGGATCGTGGCCAAGAGCAAGGAACCTGCCAAGCCAAAACTGATGGACAAAATCAAAGGATGGTTCGGTCGAGGGCGCAAGAAGGACGAGGCGGAAAAGGAGAAGACTGAGACTGCTGAGGATAAGGCAGAAGATACCAAATAGTGCGAGTGAAGGCGCGACATTTGAGCCATTCTAAGTCATTAAATAAACTTGGATTATTGAAAACTGGGGCATTTATTGATATCAACTGGCAGCATCCTCCAAGAATGAATCAACATTGCTTACCTCTTCCTTGACGTGTTCGGCTACATCACCAGATTCCTGTTCCTCCGACATGCCTTCCTCGACGATGACCGTTAGGGTTCCCGTTTTTACCACCTTTGCCTTGGGATGGGCCTTCAGATGTCGTTTCAAAGCATTGGAATCGTTCAGCTTCTTCCCCACGCAAATCCGACATTGGAACGGACTGGTCACTGGACCGTCGTGAATTCTCATGTGAATGGTCAAGTTCCCCCGCAAGGCAAACGCCTTTTTGCAGACCATGCACTCAAACGGCTTCTCTCCACTGTGCAGGAATTTGTGAGCTTTCAAGTGATTCAACTGCCGGAAGGCCACATCGCACAGATCGCACTTGTAGGGTCGCTCGTCCGAGTGAACCAACCGGTGCGTCTTCAGGGAAGTTTCGTAGCCAAACTTTTTGTGACATTGGTTGCATTCGTACGGTTGCTCCTTGGTGTGGCTCCGCAGATGCACTTTCAAATGTGCCATGATCTTGAAGTTCTTCCCACAGAACGTGCACATAATTTTAGCATCCGAGTGCATCAGTTTGTGATTTCTTAGCGACATCTTACTCGAGTAAAGCTTGTGACAAACATCACACTCCAGCGGTTCCGTTTCCTGCTTCGGCTGCGAACTTCTCACATGCCGAATCACGTGCAGCTTTAGGAGTTTTTTCGATTTGAATCGCTTCAGACATACCTCACAGGAGTAATTCCTCTCCTGGACGTGCGTGCTGTGGTGCGCTTCCAGAACCGTCTTCTGGGAAAACTCCTTCCCGCAGAGGTCACACACGAACGGCTTTTCTCCGAGGTGAGCACTCTTCACGTGCCGTCTCAAGTTGCGACTGCTTTTGTACGAATTCGGGCAACTGTGGCAGCGGAAGTTCCGCTCTCCGGTATGAATCACCTCGTGGCTCTGCAGATGAGCTCGCCGTGAAAACCACCGATCGCAATCCTTGCACTGGAATCGAGCCTTCCCGTGGCTCTTGACGTGCTGATAGAGTTCCGTCGCCTTTTCGAAACCCGATCCACAAGTTTCGCAGAAGAATTTATTATCCCTCTCCTCGCCCAGCTGTGCCAGTTGCGCAATTTCGGCTTCCTCCAAAACTATATCCTTTTGATCATCATCCTCCTCCAGATTCATTTCATCTTCTTCCTCATCGTCCTCCAAATATTCCTCGATCGTATACTTGACCGAAACCGGTTCATACAATAGCTGTCCGTCCTCCATCGTGTCTACGGGTTCTTCCTCAACGAAGGCTATCGTCACGTCCTCATCATCCTCTTCCTCCTCCTCCTCCTCGTCATCGTCTTGGAAGTTCGCAACTCCCATCACATATTCCACGGTAGTTTCTACCTCATCCTTCTCCTCGTGGTGCTCCACCGCTTCCCGCCGGAGCACATCCTGCAATCTCTGTTCCGCGGCTTCACACCGTAGCAGGAAATCATACGCCACATTCAGCGTACCGATGCACTCGAGACAAATGCACCGTGGTAGCGAATTGTTCGGTTGAATCTGTAGGTTACAACGGGAAACATCTTTATCGTTCCGATGACGACTACCAAACCGATGAAGGCGCACTTACCCGAATGGTGGTCAAAGCTGCCAACTTTTCGGCAGCGTTTTCGTTCACCTGGCTGGTTAGATCGCATAGATTTTCCTGGGATTGGCAGATGCGGCAAACTGTTTGCAGAAAATCCATCTTTCTTTCGGCATGCACTTTGGAAGCGCAGTCTTCGGATTTCTCCGGAAAAAAAAACTGCGTTCGAGCGTTGGTGACGTTTTTTGACTATCAACACAAAAACAGAAACATTCAGCTATGTTCACACGACGATGGAAGCATTTTCGAGATGTGAGTCGACATTTTACCATCATCGTCATCGGTATAAACAAAACAAAAACCCGAAGGCGATGATGGCGTCCGTCAATTGACGTGTGTGGTAGGAAAATTTCCACAAGAAGCTGAGGGGCAACGCGAGTGCGTTCCAAAACGTAGTATCGATAAAAAACCATTATTAGTGGAAAATTTCCACCAAAAATGGCCCGAAGCCGTTCGCGGGAACGAACCAGTCACCGTCGAAAGTCACGCCGCGACGACGACGATCGAAAGAAAAAAAAGCACCGTGCGTCGAGTTCCAGCTCCCGAAGTAGTAGCAGTAGCAGCAGCACAAGCAGTGGAAGCAGCAGCAGTGATCGATCGCGTCGGAGGGATAAAGGCAAGAAGCGCTCAAGGCACAATTCTGATTCCCGTTCGCCAGTGAAACGACACAAGCAGAAGGATAAGGATCGAAATCGAAGGAGATCACGCTCAAGGTCCCGGGATCAACGAGGTAGACAGTCACATAACAAGCAAAGCAATGGCCACAGTTCGAGCGGGCCACCACGCTCTGGGGAAGGGGAATCCAGCAAGAGATGGGAGCACGATATGTACCAGGAGAAGCAATCGCGAGAGGATACCGACCGGAGTCGACGGGCGGGACTGGGATGGTCCGGAAAGGACCGTGGTGGTTTCGGTGGTGGCGGCAGCAGCAGTATGAATGATGATTTTATGCAATCGCGGCGGTTGCAACGGGAAATCATCGGCGAGGAAGGTGCCCCGATGGCTTGGGCGGAATCTCCCTCGCCACGAGAGTCCTCCGATGAAGAGAAGGAAAAGGCAATGGAAAAGAAAGCCTTAAAGAAGGCTTCCAAGAAAGCAAAGAAGAAGAAAAAGAAGGCAAGTGACAAAAAGGAAAGCAAAAAGATAAAGAAGAAATCCTCCAAGAAGCTTCGCAAAAAGGAGAAGCATTCCAAGAAGAAAAAGAAAAAGGTTTCGTCCTCGGAAGGGTCTTCGGATTCTTCATCTTCGTCCTCGTCGGACGAAAATGAGGAAGACGAATGGGTCGAGAAGTCGATGGTTGGAAAGAAGAGTGGATCGGCCAAAGCGGGGGCTGGGATGGAGGACGAGCTGGGCGATGGCGTCGTGGGACCGATCAAGACCAGCGGCAACCTGAGCCTGAAGGACTTGGGACGGGCGCTGCTGCCGGGAGAGGGTGCCGCCATGGCAGCTTATGTGACCGAGGGCAAACGAATCCCGCGGCGTGGTGAGATCGGACTGACGTCGGACGAAATTGCCAACTTCGAGGACGTCGGATACGTCATGAGCGGAAGCAGGTGAGTTTTGAATGTAGTTGCTATATTTATAGTCTGGCGATCTACAAAAAAGCGGAAACAATTCAATGTAATTGTAATTGTAATTTATTATCAGGTCAAGGAAAACACAACATTTGATTTTTAACTAAAGGAGAACAATAAGTCATTAGTGGAAGTAGCTTTCTTAGTAGGTACCTATGTAATTCTTAAACTAGGTTTAAGATCCTGTTGAGAGCGCTGTCTTGAATGCGCTGATCGTTGCCTGTCGTCGTTTTGCTAGAGGGAGATGGTTCCAGATGATTGCACCTGCGATCATCACACTCTTCTTCTTCGATGTGGTGTGATGGGGAATCGCAAAGCAGCGGGCCCGCTCAAGCTGTCCTCTTCTCAGGTGTTGCTGCAGATAAGGTGGGAAAGTTCCTGCGTACCCTTGGCGAATAAAACAGCTGATTCTATTCCGGTAATTTGTGTCCAGGTCGTGTCCCAAAATAGAGTTCCTTACAGCAGCAGTGGATTCTCTGCGTCTGAGGCCATAGACAAAGCGAACTGCTGCCGGTTTAGTTGATCACGGAGCGCTGATGACAGTCCAGGATAGTAAGTGACGTCACAGTAGGTGAAAAACGGCACGACCACTGCTTGCACTAGCTTTATTCGGGTTTGAACTGACAAAACTGGAGCGAATCTTCGGAGTGTCCGCAACGTTCCAAAAACTTTGGCCGTTATGTCGTTCACATGTCCATTCCACTTCAGGTTGCGATCCATCCTTAGACCAAGATTCACTACGTTGTCAGACAAAATAATGTGTTCTCCGCAGAAAACGATGTTAGTGGTTGGTGCTACCGCTCCTTCTTTGCAAAAATTAATTGCTTGCGTCTTCTTCGGGTTGGGGAAAAGAGAGTTCTGCCTGGCCCATCGCTCTATGCTTTCCAGATCGTTGTTTATGGCTTCGACGAGTTGGTCTACGTTTTGGATGGCACCAGAAATGGTCATCAGCGTAGAGCTGGTAACTGCATCTCAGTCCACGGGGAAGGCTATTGATGTAGAGGCTAAATAGCAAAGCGCTCAAGCACGAGCACTGATCTCTGGGAGGACATCACATTTCCTATCCGTACCGCCTGGGTGCGATGATCGAGGAAAGAAGAGATAAGGTCGCATGCATTGTCGGTGAAAGAAAATTCCTCTCGAAGTTTTCTCTGTAATTTGCGATGATCAACACAGTTGAAGGCCAACGAGAAGTCAACCAGGACCATAACTGTACACTGCTCGTTGTCGAAATGGTCACAAATATCGTGCGTCACTTTTGCCAAAGCTGTTGTTGTGCTATGGCCCTTTCTGTATCCTGATTGGTTCGATGCAAGCAACCTGCGATCGTCCGCTTCCACGTGCCCAACAATTTGGTCGAGCAGGATCTTCTCGAGAATCTTGGAGATGGCAGGGAGAACACTAATTGGCCGAAAGTGTTTAGGTTCAGTCGGATTTGTTACCTTTGGTATGGGCGTGATGAGACCTTTTTTTCCAGACGGCAGGGAACGATCTGGCATCAATCACCGCATTGTACAGGTGAACCAGTACAGGCAGTACAAACGGGACCAACATCTTAACGAATGAGATAGGGATTCCATCTGAACCTGTAGCATTGGTTTGAACTTCCATAATCTTGCGTGACACTTCGTTGGCTGTAGTCCTTCGGAATTCGAACTGCATCCCACCACGGTCCGTAGCGGTACGGTGCGCCGGTTCAACTTCTGCTCTATTGTCAGTCACAAGCAGTCGATGTCCCTCGCAGAAGAAACGGTTCATCTCATCAGGATCAGCATGTTCAGCGGCAACGTTCTTCTTGGCGTTGTTATGCACACCCTCACGCCGGAGGTTGCTCCAAAGCTTTTTTGCAGGGAGGTTGTGTGCAAAATGCGTTTCCTCGTATCGCTTCTTTGCTGCTGAGATCAACGATGCTGCCTTACTGCGTTTTCGTACGAAGTCGTTCCACTGATTGTCGTTCCTTCTCCTGTTAGGATTTCGCGTGTAGAGTGCGTGTGCTAGGTCTCTCACGACAATCGCCCTTTCAATTTCTGTTGTAATCCATGGCGTACGTGCATCTTTTACAACAATTTCACGTTCAGGAGCATGTCTGTCCATTAGGTTTTGCAGTTTGGTTGTTATTGTCTGTGCTTTAGTGTTAACGTCGTCGGTGTTGAGTGCCTCTCTGAAGTCAATTGTTTGGAAGTCTGCCTGAAGTGCAACAACATAAACATTACGGAAATGTCTTACCATAATACGCTGAGGTGCTGCTTTTCTAACTTTAACGTCGGAGATCAAGAAGATGATCTCATGATCTGAGAGGCTCGAGGATTTTGTCTTAGCTGTACGTATAGATTCAGGACTGTCTGTGATGAGTAGATCGATTGTCGTTGAACTTCTTTCTGCTATTCTTGTGGGTGGTGTTGGTAGGATGGTAAGGTGGAAGGCATCGTGAATACGGATGAGCGATCTCAGATTTCCTGATGACTGTTGAGCAGTGACGTTGATGTTAAAGTCTCCGGCAACGAAGATTCGGTCGAAGGCGAAATCCTGGGCATCGAAAAGGAGCTTCTCGTACTCTCGTGCAAAATGCGGGTTCGAAACGGAGGGATTGTAGATGGTGACGATTCCAATGTTGAGATCGTTGATTTTTACCTTAACGACGAGATACTCGAACCTTTGCGCTGTTACGACGGCTAAGAGGGCCGGATTGATCCGCACACATACAGTATGGAACCACTTATTACAGGAGTCACAGCCGATCCATCCAATTTCATCACTGGTTTTCTTCTTCTTCTTCGGAGGCTCATCTTGCTTACAGATGCCGCAAACTTCTTCCTTCATGATCGCACCACAACGCTAACACACTCAATCAATTTACTGCTGCATAGCAGTATTCACAAACACAAACACAACAGAAGGTTCTGGCTTCTACGCGCACGACGCGGATAACGAACTTTTCGTCCGAAACAAATACCGGGAATTTCTCACTAGATGTGGATAAAAATTACTAAATTCCACTTTCTCGTTGATCTGGAACCACCAGCCGAGCTTCCGGAACTGGAACAGAGACTTACGGACACGGAAATACGCGAAAAGTCGGGAGCGAAAAATTCAACCGCGGCGCGTCGGCAGTGTTGCCAATGTGTAGACCAACAATTGAAAAGGTACTATCAACTTATATGAACAAAATATTTCTTTCCTCGCCAAGCGAACGCAAATTAACAGCATCACCGGATAGGGGAAACTTTCTCCTACCCGGTGATGGTGTTAGTTTGCGTAGCATTGAGTCACGAGAAAAGGGTTTCCGAAGTTTTGTTCGCAGCAGCTGATGTGCTCTTTTCTGTTGTTCGTCGTGATATGCTCGATAAGTTCCGCTATTTGACAGCTCAATTGGTTCCCGAGATTCTATCCGCCAGACTATAAATATCGTTTTGGGGTGTTATTTTAGGTCTGTCTAAAACGCTGGCCAGACTGGAGAGTTATAACATGTTATAACGGTTGTCAAATAGTTGCAACACAGAAACCACCCTCAAGATAGCGCTATAACATGTTATAACTCCGTAGTCTGAACAAGGCATAAAACACTGTACAGACTGGAGAGTTATAACATGTTATAACGGTTGTCAAATAATTGCAACACAGAAACCACCATCAAGATAGCGCTATAACATGTTATAACTCTGTAGTCTGAACGTACTATAAAACGCTATCCAGACTGGAGAGTTATAACATGTTATAACGGTTGTCAACTAATTGCAACACAGAAACCACCATCAAGATAGAGCTATAACATGTTATAACTCTGTAGTCTGAACGTACTATAATAGTACGTTCAGACTACAGAGTTATAACATGTTATAGCGCTATCTTGATGGTGGTTTCTGTGTTGCAATTATTTGACAACCGTTATAACATGTTATAACTCTCCAGTCTGGACAGCGTTTAAGGTTAGCTTTCCAGTTGGTGAATGCCGCTCTTCGCATGTCCGTCCCAAAAAAAAATAATCAGCGAGTCAAGAAAATCGCGTTTTAAGGTTCCATTGCTTCTTATGTGATGGGACAACCAATTTGGCTATCTTTCCAAACTTTTTCAAAACAAAGTTGTTGAGTTCATTTAGTATTATGAGAGTATGGGTGATTAGCTACCATTTCATTGAAAAAGTTTTGACTAAAAAGACTATGGGACCGACTTGCTAAGAGCGGCAGAATGGTCCTAAGATATTTTCATTAGTTGATGGTGAAATTTGACCTTCTTGCTTAAATTCAAATTTGCGATTTTTAATTTTATATTTCGACAGCGAGCATGCATAAGGGCGTAACCGCGATGATCGATTCTCTTAGTCAATTTTCTCTTCTGTTAATAACTCGCTTGGATTAACATTTTTCGATGCGTTTGTTGTTGCTTTTGATAGCCAATACAACCTGTTACAGCACTGTATTGGACAAATGTCAGGAAATTGCTTTCCTTAGCTGTAGCAAATTAAAGCGAAAATCGACAGAAAGAATCGATCTTCGCAGATTGTTTATTGTTGTGAATGGATGAAGCCCCAATGATGTTAACCTTATCAGCTATAGTAAAAAAATACATTCAAGCATGGTCATAACATAAAAAACATATATCTTATAGTCAGTTACTCCTGCCGGCGAAAAACAGAAGAAAACTTTCGACGAAGCTCATCACGGGAGAGATGAAAGTCGAAAACAGATGCAACTCTATTGAATATTCTCTGCAGTCCGCAAATCGCACCGTATGCTCCATAATTTGTGCGACGTAGAGGCAGTCTTACCATAAGGTTATTACGAAGGGGTCGGGGTTTATTTGTTATGGTTGCATCAACAGACTAGAAATAGTCCCAATGATGTGTTGTAAAAAAAGTACAGATTATACAGACGACATACATATACTACAGTTACTACAGTTACAAACGAAAATAACTAGGAAAGCATTGTCAAGTTACTACAAATTTAAAAGTCTTAAATTTTACACTTAGCTGTTGGGCA